TGTATGGAAGTTGAGCAAAGCATGGTTTTTGTTACCAGTAGCCTTTTTTGACTCTCCTCTAACCAGATTCCCATCTGTCCACGTCAGTATAATGTTGAGGTTCTGATTTATGCTGGCCCTGGTAAGCTTGTTCAATGGGACTTAGGAAAGGTACAGAGTGAAAGTAAATATTATAGGAGAGCTGGGTGTGGTGTCACATGCCAGTAGTTCCAGTACACTGGGAAGTTAAGTCAGGAGCATTAGAAGTTTGAGCCCAGCCTGGGCAACTCAGTGAAAACTTGCCTCAAAATAAAAAAGAAAAGCAAAGGGCTGGGGATGTAGTTCAGTGTGAAGGACCTGGGTTCCATCCCCAGTACTCCCCCCAAACAAACAAACAAACAAAAAGCTAGTTGTTTTTTCTAAACTAAAACTTCGGTATTCAGGTTTAATTGCAGTGCTGGCACTTTGCAATACATAAGTGGGTTTGGGGTTGCAGTTTAGTCACTTGGTCTCTGACAGGTTTGCCATCACTGCAAACAGTGTGACTGAGCTCATTGTGATCCTACAGGGTAACCACTGTGATTATCATTGGGATCGATATCTAGGAACTCTTTGTTATCACAGCAGAACCTAGCTCACTCACCATATGTCATTACTGTCATAGAAGGAAGAAGATTCAGGGAACCCGGAAGAGGCCATCATGCGAGCATACATGCATAGTGCATGTTTGCGTGTGTGCTTGTGTGTGTGTGGGTTGTACATGTAAATATATGCGTGTGGATATATTAATCCTGACTCCTTGATGACTGTGGTTTCTGAACTTGGCTGCAGATTAGAATCATTGGATAATCTTTTAAAATCCTAAAGCCCAAGACCACACATTAGATGAATTAATTCACAAACTTTGGGAGTAGAATGGATGAAAGCATTAAGTTTTTAAAACTTTTTTGGGTGATTCCAGCTATACACAAGTTTAGGAACATTATTTTGAGGAGGAGTGTGGATAACAGTAGTGACAATGGTAGTACCAGCCATTGTCATTTATTGGCTGTTATTTCTCTGCCAAGCAGTATCCTGAGTGTTTACAAGCATTCTCACCTCTAGTCCTTACAAGAACAGTTCTGTAGGTGGACGGAGACAGAGAGAGGGGCCATACCTTTCAGACCGATGTCAGCACAGAATTGGCTGATCCAGATTGTCAGGGAAAGACCAGGAAGATGAGGCTGCTGAGCTTATCCTGTTGAGCCCCTAGGGACCTCTATGGTCATCCTTTGGCTGAGATTTAGGGCTTCTTTGTTACCACATCATAACCCATCCCTCCCTGATAGATACAGCTATCCTTTTAATAACCACAGTGGATTCAGGAATCAATGATCAAAAGCGTATTTTGTAAAGTTATAAATTGAGGGAGATTTTATTTTGACTTGCGGCTTGGAAAGAGCAAAGCCTGCAATAAACCAGTCTATTAATCTCAGGTTGTTTGATTCATCCATCAGATCCACTTTGTATTTGTCTCAGGTTAAATAAATTAATAAAATATTACCTTGTATTTTTGTAGCACTTTTCTCAATGGAGGACATAGTGCTATGCAAACCTCATACCTTTGCTAGTATGTTCGACACCTCCTAGAAGGATCGTGAGGTGAAATAGGGCTGTAGGTTACTGTAAGGTGAAAAGAGGAACTGAGTTGTGTTGAAATGCTTATCCAGAGTTCATAGAGGTTTCTGACTGGAGTCTTGATGTGTGGCAGGAATTTGGCAGGGAAGAAAGTGGGTGTTGTGGAAAGGGTTCCTCATAGAGAGAACAGCTAGGCAAAGGCACACGGCAAGAAGTGGTCTGTACAGAGACCCAGCATTCCCGCCAAGGGAGGGACCGGTCCCTGCTGCTGTGGAAGACCAGGAAATCCCACTGGGCCTGCATTTCCATTTGTTGTCATGTGGCACACACATCTCCTAACATTTTTCCAATGAGGGAAGAGATTTGTGGTATAATAATTTAATTGACCCCCTTGTGTCCTAAAAAGTCACACTAGACACCATACCAAATGTTGTACATTGCTTATCAGAGATATTTGACAGGACTCTGATGATATTCCAGTGACCCAGACTGTCTTTGGTGTTTTTCTTTTTAATCTAAAAAATTATCATTAGCCCATGTTTGCAAAACATATTGATTACATTCATTGTGGGGAGCTGGTACATGTGCATGACACGTCTTCACTCTTTTTACTTCTGCTTTTCCTCCCCTCCCTTCCCACTTCGTCTCTTGGCCCCCTTCCCATTTGCAAAGCATCTATCTGCCTCTTTCCCATTATCTATCCTCTGCTTCTGGACTGACCACTGAAAATGAACTCAGCATATCTCTCAGTGGAGGTGTAAACCCATAACCTTCACTCTGGGCCCAGAGTGGAGGCCCCAGGGAATTGATTGTGGCCCTGGGAACCCCCGTGGGCTCCTGGACAAATTCCTTAACTGCCTGGGCCTTCCAGTTTTGTCAGTGTAAAATGGTGAAGTTGGGGGTTGTTTCCACTTCTGAAATTTGGTAATTCACTCAGATTCTGATGTAAGCAGCTTGTAATTGAAAGTCACCAATGACATAAAAATGCCAAATAAATACATTTTATCCAAGTCCACTGGGGCTGAGACAAGACCAGAGCTTGGGCAGGGTGATGTCTCACTTTGCGTTCCTGTGTGTGACAACTGGGGAGGGGATGCATGCTCATCAAACCTGTGTTCTGACAAACCAGTTAAACTTGGTCCATATTGATGTTTTGTTTTGTTTTTTGCTAACTTCATGCAATACTTTTCCTTCTGTAGCTTTGAGAACCTAAACTCTTGTGCACTTACAGCTCACAGTTGATTTATGGCTCCACTACTTTGTCCAAAGCTCTGTATGTCAGCTCCGAGGCCACACAGCTAGTAACTGAGCCACTTTTAAGGAGTATTCAACCCCCACCTTGCTGTGCTGCTTCCCCAGTTCGCGATCCAGGACGGTAGCCACGGTGAGACTCAGAGTGGGGTTAAAACCCAAGGCCTGGGCTAACCACGGATGGGCGATGCCACTGGGCTTTTGACTGCACAAGTATTGTGTACATGTCTTGTGTGAGGCACTGGGTCAGGCTCTGTGCTTGCACTGGGGTATAGCAGCAACAGTGCAGCCTGGCCTTTGCCTTCACAGAGCTCACAGTGTTAAGGAACCATACAAAAGAGCCACGAAGGTGGCATGGTAATGTGTGACGTAAGCAAGACACCGCGGGTGCTGAGGGCGCTAGCAGTAGGGCCCTGACCCGGTTTGCTCGGTGTAACCAGGGGCTGACATGACAAAGAGCCCAGGGAGGCAGCTGGGGGGCCAGGGCTTTGAGAACAACATATGACCCTGAGTGTGAGTCAGGGACAGAGGAAGGGGTCAACCTTCAGCCTACACAGCACTCGGAAATCTCTCCCCCCCTCCTCCCGTGACCCCTCAAAACTGGAGGGGGCTGTTCTCCCTGTGAGTTTTATAGGATGTGTCATCACCATTCATTTGGCAGTTGTGTTGCTTTGTACTGGAGGAAGGTACTGAGCCTTCTTCTCCTGGAAGCGAAGGCTCTTCCTACATTCTTGGGCCTGGCTCAGCATGTGACTCCAGATGGAATGGTTGGCCAGTCTGAGAATGAGAATATCTGTGACCTGTTGGATGGCCTTGGTGTGTGGAACTCATCTTTCTTGAGTCTGGAGCAGATCAAAAGAAGGTTCAAGACCCTGGGGAAGTGTATCGTGTAACAGCTCCAAGTGCCCCTTTGTGCTCAAATTAATCAAAGTTTCTGTTGATGGAGGCCATTAATAGGGGAAATTCTATCCACCAGAGAATAGTTTAATAGCTATTAGCTTGTAATTAAAAGTTCAAGGTAAACCGGTCTGCTTTATTGGCATCACGTTGCCTAGTTTTCTTGCTGTCCCTGAGATTCTATTAACAGCGTAATCCTAGCTCTGAGTCTTCTCTCTGCTTCCACCCTCCTGCTGTTTTTGTGTTCTCTCCATCTCCCTGGGTCACATCTGCTTTTTTGTCTTTTACTTTCCTCCCATCTAACATCTTCTCTTTTTGGTTGACATCCACTTGAACAATAGAACTGTTCAAATATTTAACAGAAAATGAAAAAAAAAATTACTTCTCTGTGCTCACTGGTTTTCCATGGGAGTGTGTAGGAACAGTGTTCTGATATATAAACAGTTTCGTACTCTCATCTTTAACACAATATTCACCTCTTTCTCCATCAGTAGGTGTTAACTGAGCTCCTACTATGTATCAGGCATTGTTTCAAGGGCTGGGAACACATCAGGGAACAAACCAGATATAAATCTCTGCTGTCCTGTGTAGTTCATAGAGATGATAAATATGATACAAACTATGTAGGGAGATGATAATTTACCAAAAAAGTAGGGCCGAATGGGAATATCAACTTATTAAAATCTATATAAATTTTATACTTATAAAAATTTATAAAGTTCACACATATTATTTATATAGAATTATCTATAAGATTTATGTAAACATTTTCTCATATTTCTATCTTCCTGAGTTCATTAGCTGTACATTATCCTTGAGGCCAGTGGATGACAGTTTGCACAGAATGGTAGGACTCTGTAAATCTGGAGACAGCTTGTAAGTCGCTGAGCACAAAGCTTTTATTTCTGAGATGAGGAAAGAGATGATAAGACTGTACACCTTCAAGGACTTTTATAATTTAGTTAGGGTGTTTCTTTTAAACCCCCCAGTACTGGGATTTGAACCCACGGACACACTACCACTGAGCTACATCCCTAGTCCTTTTTTTTTTTTTTGAGACAAGGTCTTGCTAAATTGCCCAGGCTGGACTTGAACTTGTGATTCTTCTGACTCAGCCTTCCAGAGTGCCGAGCTTTCAGGCATGTTCCACCATACCTGTTGGTTTTTGTGGTTCTTTAAAAAAATAATTTTAATGATACTTCTTTTACAACCTCACTATACTGTTTCCCTACTGTGGGAAATTTAATTTGCTTCTGGTTTTTGTTCTAAATAGTGCTGCAATGAGAAGCTTTATTCAAATACCATCTTAATGAGAGTAGCAAGTTTACTGATAATAAAATGATAAAGCTAATATTTATTGAGTGCTTACATTTGCCCAGGTAGTGTGCTAAGTGATTTCGATGAAATAATTTTTTTCTTCTGACAAGGAGGACCATCGCTTTCTTCCTTTCCAATGAGAAAATCCAGGGCTTAACACTGAGGCCTGACTGATTCGCAGCCTCTGTGATCTACAGCATTCCAAGTTTGAATAGTCCAATGGCACATGTCGAAGCCCCTCAGGATCACCAACACATTTATTTAGAAGTTTGCCAAACATTAAAGTTTTGCCAAGTTTTTTCACATTAAGTTGAACTGTATGGAACTGCAGTTTGCGTGTTGGCAGTTTCCCGTGTTCCTGTTTGGTCCGTCCTTGTAGTAACAGTGATCCTTGTGCTGTAGAGATGAGTGGGGCAGCATTTTACATGATGTGTGGACAGTAGGGATTCAGATGATATGGAATGAAGGGAAAGGGAGAGACAGGACGGATGGCAAAACTGTTATGTGAGACCAACACCTGCCAAGGCTGGGGCAGACTCCTATTCCTACCAATAGCAGCCTGTGATCTCTGCCAGGACACTTCAGCTCTTTGTCCCTCATCTGACAAGAGAGAGTCAGAAGGCCTCTTTCATAATGCGGCTGGAAGGCTCAAAGTATAAATGAGTACAGATGACTTTATAACTCATGTACCAGCAGAACCTAAGCAATTGATCAGGGGTGTTGGTGGTAACAGGTACTTCTGTCATATTTCAAACCAAATTTGTTTTGTCTTCTTCCCTATGATGTTCCTATAAAATACACAATAATATCTTTTAGAAGCAGCATTGATAAATTGATGAGGCTGAGTGGATCAGGGATTCCTTTATAGTTAACGCTTCCATCTGACTCTGCTGGTGTGCTGTGTATGGAGGCGAAAGAGCAGAGATTAGTTCTGTTTGGGGTATGGGGTCCCAGTAGGGTGAAGCGCACAAATAAGTGCCCCCCCAGTTCTCCTCTCCATTGTTCTGGTGCCATCCCTGATTATGTGTCATCTGTTGCCTTCAGGTGACCCCTATCCTCTGTCCCGTGTCCTTGCTGGTAGAAGGGATGTGATTGTCAGAGTTGAAAATGCCAGTGGGCAGTCTTTAGAGCTGCTGAACTGCATACTGTGCTGAAAGAGCTGTTTGTGGAAAAGGGCAGCACATCCTGAGCCTGCCCTCTTGCATTTTTCTGCAGCCAGCAAGTCTGTCTTGGAGCCGGAGCTTTAGCCTGCAGAGTGCTTGCCACAGAAGCAGCCCCTGGGCCAGCCCATAGCCACTGGGAAAAAACTCACCTTGGGGCAGGGCTTGGGAGGGAGCAGTGAAAGTGCCTGCAGTAAGTCTTTTCCTTTTTTTTTTTCCAGTTCAAAGCTTGGCAAGCAAGCATACTTGTCATTCCTGTCGCCTGTCTCACTTTAGCTTTTCCTGCTGGGAGCAGATTTGCTTTTCTGGGTGATGGGGACTTTAATAGCTCCAGGTGGTGAATGGGCACTGGGGGGCACAGTTCTGGGGAAATACAGTGCCAGAGCAATACAAATACAGAGGGGCAAAGTGGGAAGTTTGTCAGGAGGGGAAGCCTGTAATAAATTATCTTACCTTTGTTGACGTTGAAGAAACCTTCCCTTTGGCTTGACTGTAACTTGCTTCCTCAAATACTTCCTGGTGTGAATCCTCAGCAGAGTATTATATGGCCTTTAACAATGATGTAGCTAAAGTCCTATATTAAGGAAAGGTGACCAAGACGCACTGGCAGGTGGAACGCAGCAGATTACTATTCAGATATGGGAGCCATTTTTATGAAAAGATGTGTTCTCTTTCTCTAGATACATAAAAGAACATTTGGAAGGGGATCCACATGGTGGTTGGTTGGATCATATGTATTTATATTTTCTTCTTTTTGCTCATATGTATTTTCAAATTTTCACTGCATTCAATATGTATTACTCATATCAGGGAAAAAATGTAGGGGCTGAGCACCTCATTCAGTGCTCAGGCCCTCCTTTTTATCCCTTAGCATATTCATGAGGGTCTCCTAGGACAGGGCACTGTGGCAGAGATGTAGAGATCATGACAGCCTCAGTCTTGGCCTTCATGGAAGTGACATTTTTCAGCTAAAAATAAACAAATAAAACATATTACAGTTTGGGAAGGAAAAGAAGAAAAACAATGACATGAAAGGGATGGGGGGTTATCTTTAGGAATGGGATGGGTAGGACCTCTTTGAACTGAAAGCGGAGAAATAGCCACAGGAAGAGACCAGAAAGTTTGAGGTTCTAAAAAGGCAGTGGGAGCCACTAGGGTCCTTTTCCTGCTTGCAGGTCACTTGAAAGGCTGGGGGATGAAAGGCTGGGGATGAAAGGCTGGGGGAGCGAGTCTCCCTATTAGTGCAGGCTCGCTTGAACTCACTGTGTAGCCCAGGCTGGCCTCAAACTTGCAGCGATCCGGCAGCTTCAGCCTCCCAAGTGCTGGGATTACAGGTGGGCCCCACCATACTTGGCTCTGGCTTTTTTTTTTTCTTTTCTTTTCTTTTTGGTACTGGGGATCGAACTTGGGTCCTGGCTCTTGATAGCAGCCGAGATGTCTCTTATCTTTCAGGGTGGAACGAGCTCATAGCCTGACCCAGGGGCTTCTCAAGCCTCCCAGCCCACCTTCTGCATTCATTAAGTATTCACTGGACTCTCATTAGAAGGCACCAGTGGAGTCTTAGCCATTGGCCTGGAAACTGCTGTGGTGGTGATACTCAGAATCATCCCTACTCATTCATCTGGGAAAAAAAAGGGAGAAGTGGTTGAGAAAATCTGAATGTTAGATCAAAATGTGGGACTGGAGAGGCAACAAAAACTATTCTTTAGGTACAGTATAGTAAGTACTGAATGGGGCAATGGGGCAAAACAGCTGCCTAAGCTTCTCCCCAGGGAGTTGTAGCTCTGTTGGCCCTCAGGCCACACTTTTCCAACACTTTTGGCCCAAAGGCTCTTTCCTGGCCCAGCTTATCCCTTGCAAAATGCCTAGAACCCAGTGAGTCTAGGATAGGCCAGGCATGACAGGGTGGACCTTTAGCAACTGAAGAAAACACAGCTGTTTCAACATGATGAAATATTCTGCAGCTGTTAGAATGATAAGTGCAACTGTGTTGTATAAATACAGAAAGGTGTTGGGAAATAGTTGCACAAAGCCAAAGATGCCAGCTAAAGCAATGTGCATTTACATTGATGAAAGTCAGAGAAAGGGGATGGACACTGTATGACTGTGTGCTGGGATGGGAAAATATCACCATCCTTTTTGGCAGTGCTGGGGATTAAACCCAGGGCCTTGTGCCTGCCAGGCAAGGTACACCCACAGCCCGTCTATCAATCATTGCCATCACGCACACCCCTCTGCAGCTTTTAGCCATTCTGCTGGCCTCCTTTCTGTCCTCCACTGAAGTCTATGTGGGATACTACAGTCCAAGTCAATTTTAGAGGAAACATATCTGATTTTGTTTGTCCCTTGATCGGAAGTTTCTCTTTACTTTTTATTACTTTCAGAGTCAAGTTCAAATGCCTTTGCATGGCAGATGATGTTCTTTACAGTTTAGTCACTTGTCTTATTCTTAGTGTGTCACCAATTCCTGTCTGCCCTTGTACCTTTTCCTCTCTCATCTTTCTTCCTCCTCAAGGACCAGTACAAAGGCCCCATCCTTCATACCTGTACCAGGGAGAGTGGGTTCTGTCTGCCTTGGTAAATTACAACAAATCAGGATGTTTTGCAATTGCAAGGTTACAGCCTTCCTCTTAGTACACTCTGAGCCCCACACATCTTACTGACTTCCATACTAGACCCTTGGCCTGCTGCCTAGGACATCGGAGAGGTGCAGAAAGGGTGTGCTGACTGAATGAGTCAGTGATCAGACAAAAGTTTATTATCCATAAGGTTTTAAAATGTATGTATAACAAATAAGAAATTCAAAGAATATAGCACTTATGGAAAGCAACAGGCTCTTTTGAAACTGAAGAACGTAGACAGAGGCAACAGTATAAATGGAGAAACAGACATTCACGGATTGGGTTCACATCCTGGATGTGTCACACACTGAGCCTCAGGCCCCCTCCTGTATAAAGTGGATAGGAAAATAGTACCATATGGGATAGCTGGGAAGAACAAAGTGGGAAATGCAAGTTAAGGCTTAGTGTAGCACCTGGCACATCTTAAGGACCCTGGAGATGCTGGCCAATCACAGTGATTGTATCCTTCCTGAGAAGCCAGTGCTCTTGTGTAAAACATCTTTTTTGGTGTCCTTCTGCTTATTTTTGCAATATGAAACTTTAAAAGCTTTGACTTCAGTTGAAACGTGATTGCACTTATGCGGAATGATGAAGAAAGGATTGTAGAGGAAGACATTCAGCACTTCCTGTAAGGTCTTTTAGGAGCTAGACCTTGGGGTAACAGAGTAGAGTTTACTTCTCATTCTGGCCTGGAACAGGTTTTGGGCTGAAAAGGAGAAAAGTGACTCTGGGTAGTTTTTCTACTGTCTGCTCAGGACACTCCCCATTTTATGGTTACCATTTTCTTTGCTGGACCATGAGCTCTTTGGGCACGTGTCATGTATGTCTTGTTTCCCCAGTGACAAATCTAGGACCAGCGGATGAAAAGTACTGGGTACCTGATTTGTCCTCTGTAAAAGGTGAGGTTCCTCACAGGTAGAGGAGGCTGACAGTTGCTGTAATGAGCACCCTGTAATTGGAGTATTCCAGCTGAAGTGGATGTTCAGGTGTTGATACTGTGGGAGAAATTCCCAGTTTTGGTGGGAGGTTGGGTGAGGTTGGTTAGAGCTCTTATTTCAGGACTGGGCAAGTGCGTGAACTTTTCCTCTGGTTCAGAGTGAGGACAGTGGCTACGATGGAGCAGTGGGTGTCAGTGTGTCAGACAAATGAACCAACTTCTAGGGTTTGGAGTTCCATCTACTTGTAAAACCAACTCCTCAGTTCAATGAGAATTGATGAAAATTATAATCGACCTAGTATGGAATCTCCAAATCCTCCTGAAATGTCATTAAAGGTCTGAGGCCTTGGACTCTTGCCCTTAATGTGTACCTTGAGAAAGCCGTGGTCCTTCCAGGATTCCCTTAAATTTCTATGTAATATATACCATACTGCATACTTTTTAGTCTATGTAATCCAAGAGAAAAGCAGGCCAAATAAGGTAAAACTGTCCTTCAATATTTGGGGCAACAACCCTTCTAGGAAGGCAATTATTTGTGGGATGGCACCTCTTTGACTAGGGTGGGAGTTCATGAATAGGGCTTTTTAAGTAAGATCCCTTTGTCCACGAACCTGAAATCATATGCGATTGGCGTTCAAATATGCATTTTCCTGGAAAGTCCATACTTCTCTGGGATTTTCAATTGGGCCCTTGGCACACTGGGGCCAGCTAATTAGATGACATGTTCTGTTTTTATACGTAAGGAGAAGGGGCATTCATGTTCCAGGAGAATCAGGGAGGTGACTAAGTGGCTGCGCCCCTAGGCCCCCTTGACGTTTCGGCACAGAGGACCCCAGGGCGCGGGTCTGGCGCACCCGAAGCGCGGTGCGTGGCGCGGCCCGATCTCTCAGGCGTCGGACTGCCGTTCCGGGGCGGATCAGAGAACACCGCTCAAGGGCGTCTTCGCGATAAGCCGCGCCGCGATAAGGGGGCAGCGCCCTCCCGGCTTTTTTTTCACGCGTGAGGCGCCGGAATGTGGCCGCTCCGCGGAGATCAGCGCCGAGCCTCGTCTGCAGGTCCGGAGTCCCAGTTCTCGCCTTTCCAGGCCCTCCCGAAGGCAAGGCAGGGCCGCCACTCCTGACCCTCATCTCCCGGAGCACCGTGAGAAGACCCCAACCCGGCGCGAAGAGGGCGGTGCGGAGCTACTGTCCCTTTAAGGAGGGCGGGGGCGCGGAGGGGCTGGCCGCGCCCCTTGCTGTCCTCGCTCAGCAACCGCGTGCGCGCGACCACCTGTCTCCCGCCTCGCCCCGCCCCTTTCTGGAGGGGCGTGGAGGAGGGGCGGCGGAGGAGGGCTGAGGGTTTACCTTGAGGGGAGGGCGCGGCGCATGCGCACGGCCCGACAGGTCCTGGCGCCCTCACTTCCTGGCATCCCCCTCCCCCTCCGCGCCGTTACCCTGTACATCCGGGT